TGTTGTTATCCTTTTAGCTGGTCTTTTTGCTACTTTTAGTGAACATTTTGTTGCTTTAAGTAATGTTATCCTTTTAGCTGGTCTTTTTGCTACTTTTAGCTCTTTTCCTATACTTTTTGCTACTTTTAGTGAACATTTTGCTGCTTTTAGCTAGCCTTTTGATAAATCTAGCCAACATTTAGCTACTTTGATCATTTTAGCTGCGACCACACGAATTCATTCAGAGGGTCGCAAGTGGCCCACGGGGCACACTTTGGACACCCCTGGTCTAATCTTATCAGAAGAAGACTTTAGTCCAAAACTCTGGTATGAAATCTTTTTTCTACGTTTATTTATTTTAACACAAGAGGATGTGTCGGACTTTTTTAAATCTGAAGGTAAAAGAAGACACAAACGCAGCGTTAAAAATTGTATATTTATTTCTAACTGGAAACGAGATCATGTGATTGACTCGAAAACAAAAACGTGCTTTTACCTCCTCGCTCAGCTGATCTTAACTGTAATATTCTAGTTAGAAATCTACCCAGCAACAGTGCAAGGTGCAAAGGATCCCTGATTGATTAAAGACCGTACGCTAAGTCTAAAATAACAAGTTCATTTTTACAGAAATAAATGTTTTAAAACGGCAAATATGATTTCCACACAGTCAGAAAATGATTAACGCCCAGGTTTGTACAGCCGTGAAAAGAACGTAAAAAGTGATGAATTCAAGAAACGCCAGATCTGCAGGTCTCCACGTGATTCTGTGCGACTGACGACAACTTTAACATTCTTCATGAGATCAACTCGTCTGTTTCGTGTCATCGTCTCATTCCGTTACACTTTTAAAACCACAAACTGCTGCAGACACAAACCACCTTTTGTACGAACGCAGACAAATTTATTTGTACTTTTAAATTAGGAAAAACTCACGGAAGTAACCGGAAACTGACAAAAGTTTAAAAATGAAAATTTACTAAAAGTCCAAGAACTAAAATCAGTTTTTGGTTTTAAATTTTGGTTCAACAGAATTAAAACCCGAGGACATAATTGTTCTGAAGTGTCCTTCTGGTCCAAATCCTGTTGAACATCTGAGGAAGGAGCTGAAACATCTGGAGAAGAACACGTCAAACCTGAGACAGCTGGAGCAGTTTGTTCATGAGGAGTGGACCTGAGGACAGGTGGACCAGAACACTTGAGGACAGGTGGACCAGAACACTTGAGGACAGGTGGACCTGAACACCTGAGGACAGGTGGACCTGAACACCTGAGGACAGGTGGACCAGAACACTTGACGACAGGTGGACCAGAACCCTTGAGGACAAGTGGACCAGAACACCTGAGGACAGGTGGACCAGAACCCTTGAGGACAGGTGGACCAGAACACCTGAGGACAGGTGGACCAGAACACCTGAGGACAGGTGGACCAGAACACTTGAGGACAGGTGGACCAAAACACCTGAGGACAGGTGGACCAGAACACCTGAGGACAGGTGGACCAGAACACTTGAGGACAGGTGGACCAGAACCCTTGAGGACAGGTGGACCAGAACACCTGAGGACAGGTGGACCAGAACACCTGAGGACAGGTGGACCAAACACCTGAGGACAGGTGGACCAGAACACTTGAGGACAGGTGGACCAGAACACTTGAGGACAGGTGGACCAGAACACTTGAGGACAGGTGGACCAAAACACCTGTAGACAAGTGGACCAGAACACCTGAGGACAGGTGGACCAGAACACCTGTTGACAGGTGGACCAGAACACCTGAGGACAGATGTACCAGAACAGCTGAGGACAGGTGTTAGAAACCACTGGACTGGGTCAAAGGCCGGTCTCGTTAGTTTAATTCAGTTGAACCTCAATTGTAACTGTGGCAGATTTTTTTAAGTTTTTATTTCTGTGCGTTTCAAGTTATCTCAGTGGCATTTTTCAGTTTTTCTTTAATAAAAAGGTCAAAACATGTTTATCTGCGTGTTTTATAACAAATCACTGTGAACATCTTGTTTCCATCTTGAAAACATGAACAGAACCCCCACGGTACCACGACCCGCAGCAGACGAGCACTCTGATGAATCTTTGTTCACGTGGACACAAAAGCTCTTAGAATCAAAAAGTTTCACTTCCTGAGCAGATTCTGGACGTGGACATCAAGTCCAACCGTTGCTTGTCCCACCAGGACCTCGGCGCCTCGCTCAGAGGTCGACCCGGTTAGAGAACCACAGAAAAACTGAAGAGAAACTCTTTGTTCAGGTGTGGAGGTCAAAAACTGCAGATTTGTTAAAAGTTAAGGGGGGGAGCAGAAATGGCTCAAAGACGACAGAAATAAAACCAAAGAGCTGAAACAGCTGAAACAGCCTGAGCTGAACTTTCACTCAGAGCACCCTGAACGTCCGCACGGAAAGATGAAATTAAAAAATTAAAAAGTGGAGCCGTCAGGATTTAAAGGTACTCAGCGCAAAGCCGCGAAGTCTGGACAAAAATGAATCAAACTAAATCAGGACGGGTTTAGCTCATATCGACAGTTAACGTGTCATTAAATCACTTTGTTTAGCTACGAAAACAGCCGAAGTGGCTGAAAATGGGCCCAAAATGTACAATGTCCCCCGAGGAGCCGATTGGGACGGAGAACATTTCTTCTTGCTCAGATTTGTTGCGTCTGCTTTGATTCAATCTTCTAAACGTTTTCAGATTCAGGCCGACACGTCGAAAAAGCCATTTTTACTAAATTCAAACGAACGATTACACGAAAGAAAAGTAATTTAGGTGAAATGCAAGTTTTAAATGTTTGTAGAACGTAAACGTACAGCCTCTCAAACATTTACCTTTTTTTAAGAAAAGCATTCAGCTCCATTTGATGTTTATTTAATTTTTTGCTTTGAAAGGACGTTTTAGTCATTTTTAGAAATAATTATAATAATAATTACTTCAGAAAGTCACGAACAAGGCGTCGTGGCTTGGCGGTAGAACGCGATATTTAAATTCTAATTGTAAGAATCCCGTTTAGTTTTTAATTTTTCTGGACCGCACGACTGTTTATCGCCCCAAAGTGCGGTCGAAGCTCTGAACGTGTTCAGCTGGACCAGATTCAGCTGAAACGGACGTGAGGTTTGCAGGGACGCTCGTCAAACTACGAACATCGTGTCCACTTCACGTTACAAACTCACATGTACCTCCACTGACGATTAAATCAACCCGTGTTTTAAACACTTGCTATATTTAGCAGTTTCACGACTAATGATCCAAAAATCTACTTTTTGGTCAACATCTGTAAAGGGTGGTGATCCTTTGTACCGCCACGTTGGACTAAAACAATAAACCTGCTTTATTGAAGGGGAAAAATTGTTTTACTTAATTTTGCACATTTAAAATTATTATTATTTTTCACCCGTTTCTCTGCTAAACCTAAAAATTATATATTTTTTAAGCTCGAGACAAAATCCTACTGTTCCGGTCACGGTAACAAATTTTGCTGGGCGATTTATCGTCTCAGAAATTATTGCAATAAACAAAAATATCGTTTGAAATTTGACAATTGTTATTAATTATTGTCAAATTTAAGAAGAAATGTTGGTAAATTTTCTAGTTTAGTACCTTTTTTGACCACCGGATGGCAGTATAAGACTGTTTGAACTGAAGGATGGATAGTGAGGAAGAAAAATGGGAGGGAGGCCCCTTGACAAGACGTGGGCTGTCTCTCCTTCCTTTTTCCGGTTCTCAAATTGGCAGACGCTCGGTGTGGTTTGAGCTCTTTAGCGTCACATTTTTCACACAAATCTTTTAATTTAAAAAAATCAGTAAACAAGCTCTCAGCTTCTTTTATCCACAGAAAAACAACTTTTTACATGAAGGCACGGCTTTCAACCGTGAATTTTGGAGCTTTGACAACACGGACGTGAAAAACTACCGGAGTGAACAGCATCACACTGCACCGTTTTAGCTCGGGATAAAACCGTTTTTACATTCGGTTTGCAATGAGTACCTTTATTAACGTATTTCAAGATAAAATAATTGAGTTGTTGCGTTTGAACAACAATAAAATCAAATTTAACCGTTTATGGCTGTTTTGTTTTGTTCCTACACAAGGAGGGGAAAGAGAATCACAAAACATCTCCAACGATAAGTTCAGTCAGAAGTTTACAGATCTGCAGATGGTTTACAGAAAAAAAACTTTATGATTTATAAATGGTGGGGCTGCAAACTAAATTAAACTTGAATAAAAACCAATTTATCTTCAATACATTCACATTGTATTAAACCAGAACTGTTATTCGCAGACGTCACCCACACGTTGAGAGGTTTAAAGGATTATTGCAACTATTTAAAAAGAGAATTGTCCTTCCTCGTGAGCACAGCAATTATTTTTTATTTTACTTTAAATTCAAATAAACTTTGTTTTGAGTCAATGAGACTAAAAGTTAAAAGTTGTGGGTCTGAATCAACTTATTGCTTTTAATGACAGCTAAATATTTACAAACCGTCTCCTTGAGTAAAATGAAAAAGATTTATTTGTTTAATGAGTTATTAATTGTATTAGTTTTTATATTTCGGTGCAGTAAAAGCAGCTAAACCTTAGATTAACTTCTTTAAATGTTACTTAGGCAACAAAACAGGTTCTTAGTTTCTCACGTTTTAAATCAGACTGAAACGTAAAATTTCATTTAGTTTATTTTGCGTATAATCTGGGTGAAAGTTACACCCGTCAGTATTTATTTACACGTTTTATTAAACTGAGCTGAACGTCACTGAAACAAAAGCCGCCCGCTACGGGACAAATATGACAGATGATGATCAGGGTGGAATATTTTAAATAAACTGTTTTTTTTTTATTATTCAGCATCAAGTGAACTAAAAATAAAAGCAAGAAGAAAAAAAGTATCTACAAAACAGAAAAGAGTGACTCTACAGAACATCCATGGCTATAATCTCATCGAGCTGATTTTTTAATTGAAAATGGAAAAAAAAAAAACAGAAAAGAAAGTTTTTATAGTGATTCTGTGTAGTTGAAGGATTAACGTGCACGTTTCCACGTGTGCACCCAGTGTGTGGCTATGTGCCGTTTACCCCACCCCGCCGGTCACACACACGTGGATTCATCGAACTTTACAAAAAAAAAACTCGTGTTTGAACAGGTACAGTGGAGGCTCCGCCCCCTCGTCCCGCGGCCGCACAATGAACGGGACAAACAAAAACAGACAGGAAAGAGAAAAACAAACAAACAGCGACTCCCTTTCTCGTTCTCATCGATCACACGACGTACAAAAACTAAAGAGCCTACCGACGCTCAGACTTTGTTTAAAAAAAAAAAAATAGAATTACGAAGCTGAACCTCCGGTTGTTGCCGTCGGCGACGTGAGAAAAACATGTTTGGGAGGAAAAGAGAACAGAAGTTGTGCCCACGGAGGGCGGCGGGGACTCGGCGGGTGTTATTTCTTGGCCTTGGCAGCCTTGGCTGAATTTCTCGGCGGGGTGACCGGTCGTCCTAACCCCACTCCTCCCCGGTCGCCGTAAGGATACAGTTTCTTATCTGCTGGCTTCAGAATCTGCAGGAGACAAAAACAAAAACATTTCTCCGTTAAACCGACACACACACACGTCTGGGTTAGAGGTGCTCGCTGCCAAGTGTGAAGTAAAACGGATTAATCCTGGACTTGAGCGAGCGGTGCCGTTTGAAAGTGTTTTCCAGAAGCTCGGGTCACGTGACCCACATCAGGCAGCTAAACGAGCTGAACCGGATCGGCGTCGAGCCGAGGAAAACTCGTTGGCGTCCGGTCGCAACTTTTATTGATGATTTTTTTTATTTAAGGACATCGGTACGAGAAGAGAATTGTCCATTTTTCTATTTTTTTTAGGTTCGCATTTATGACTTTGCAGTGAGTATTTAACACGTTTTATACGCCACGACGACTTCCTGCAGCGAGTTTATGTTGAACAAACAAAACGACAGTTTAAGCGTAACAAATAGTTTAAAAACCGTCGTGTGTAAATCAACTGAATGTTCAAACAGCACCTGGGTTTGAAAAAACTGAGCGCAGAAGGTGGACAGCACATTTGTTTGAGTTTATGGTCAGAAGATTTTATTATCCTGAGGGAAATCAAGTTGACGGCTGCTTCAAATCAGACAAAAATTATAAAAAAAAAAAAAAAAAAAAGTATAAAGAAAGAAAAAAAAACTAATAATACTGAAACCATGAATTAGCAAACAGCAGTTATTGCACTTTAAAATGTAATAATGAAGGAAAAACACTGAATTTTAAAGCAGCAGTTTTTGCACCACTCTGATAACTCCAGTGGTCTCTTCCATAGAAAACAGGTTTATTTCCTAAAACTGAATCAAATAAAGTCCTTTCAGAGTAAAACCAGGTTTTTCGTGCACCTGGGGGGACTGAGTGAGAAGCTGCATTCTGTCCATAATAAAACACAGTTAATAACCTGCAGCCGTGCGCATCGTTACAGTTGGTCTTAACGGACGTTAACGCGACCGTCTACAGACGCAACATAACGAGGGAACACGGACCTTTGAAAATTACGTTATTGCTCCGGGTGCAGCTAGTGAAGAAAGCTGTAAAGCTCAGCGAGACTTCATTTGTTTGAATTCTTAATCAGAATCTCAAAAACTAAAAGCTTTTCGTGGGAAAACGCTTAAATTTAAGGTTTGATGAAACAAACATAAAGTTAAATAAAACCTGAACTAAATAGAATCTTTTAGGACACGTGTTTGTAAACACAAATATTTCTCCAAGCTTTTTATAATTTCGTACCAAACCTAGACAAAATAAAAAGATGTCATGTTTAAAGTGTTGTGGTCCGCACCTGAAAGGAGCACATGAGCGTCTCGTCCACGCTCATCATGGCGCCAGCGTTGTCAAACTCGCCGCAGTAGTTTGGAGCCGAGAAAAGAGTGACGAGTTGCCTCTTCGCAAAAAACTCGTAGCCGTCCTCAACCACCTTGGAAGAGAAATTAAAGCGTCAACACAAAGTGTCGAAAACAATCCAATTATTTTATAGATTCTGTCTAATAACGTCAATGATATACGTTATTAAATATTAAAAATGTCCTGTCGAGTAGTTACTTTGGAAAACCTTCAGATTCTACGATGCAAAAGTGAGAATGACAGAAGTTCTGTTGAATTCAAGCTGCGTGCACGTTTTCTACTCAAGAGGAGGAAGAGGAAGGAGCCGAAGAGGACTGTTCAGAAAGGACCGAGCAGATTACCAAGTCCACCGCAGCTTTTATGGTGAAGGACTTCGTGCTCGGCCGCTGAAAACCACGGCTCGTGCTCTTGGTCTCGCACTTTGTGGAGCCATGACAGGACGAACGAACTGGACCAAAAACAAAGTGGAGTAAAGCGGGTCAGATAGTTCTAACCCATCACCGCAGAACCGTGCGTGGCCATGTTCAGCACGTAGACTTTTATTTTGATCGTTTAGTTCATTAAACCGATTCGACACGAGTTCAGTCTGTCCAGTGGGCGGTCCCACCTGCTTCAAGCTCCGTTCTGAAGACCCTCAGCAGTGAACCGTCTGCGCGCCACCGAAGGGCCAGATGACATGACAGCGCCTCTTTAACGATCAAACCAAGTACTTTGAAAACCTCGCAGCCTCAGTAGTTACTTTTTGTTACTTTACCGTATTTTTCTGCCTATAAGTTGCACGCTTTTCCATAACTTGCACGCCCTGCGACTTATACGTCAAAGTGACGTATTTATGGATTTTCCCACATTTATAAATCGACGTTTGGCTGAGATATGACCGTTTTCATTCATTCTGACTGAAAATATTGAACACTACCATTTTCTGCCACTAGATGGCACTCTAGCAGTATGGCATGCCGTTGTGTCATGTAATAGGTAAAACGTGGCTATTAATGACACAATCGGCTTGCCATAGCCTGCCACCGTCCAAATCAGCTTCGTTTCGCTGCACCGCCCCGACGAAATGCAGCCGATTTGACCAATGAAGTGCCTTTATTAAATAAAAGTTCAACCGAGACACACCTTTACTACAATGTCGAGCAAACAAATAATTGTTTTTAAGTGTTAATTTTGTTAAATTCTTTTTTAAAAGTCCTCCCGTGCACGCTCCTGCAACTGCCATTTGGCAGCCAGTCAAGTTTTGGCTCAGACCAGCCTCGACCGCAGCATTGTTGAAAACCACAGCGGAGGACGAGGTGCGTTTGGTGACTTTATTTCACTTTATTCACTCGCAATCAAGCTACGATACACCCCCCCCCCCTAAACGGCAGCACTCGTCTCAAAAACCACCGAGGCTGTGAGTCGAGGTGAGACTGGATGGAAAAACAGCTTTTGTTGTCAAACTCATTTGAATGAAAACCGTTGTATTCTGCAACGAGGAGCTAAATATTTAGCTTCTTCCAGGTCAGAGATTCTGCTCGGGGTTTAGTTTGAAGTTTGGCTGCGGCTCGATTAGATTTTATCGTCTCAGCCTTTTGAATCGTAATGGGATGGAAACGCCAGGTGGTTCCTCGACTACAAAACAAGAGGCAAAAAAAAAAAAAGACTCCAGTGGTCCAGATGTTGTTTGTGACATGATCCGTTTTATAAAATTAGTTTTTTTGTTTTTTTTTTTAAGTTTAATACATGTTAAAAAAATAAAAAGTAAAAGGTACAGAACTGACACTACCTGATGTGCCCTGCATATTAGGTCCATGTCGTGTTTGTGCAAAAATTTGGCCACCACGTCTGCCCCGAACGTGAAGGAGACCCCGCGGTCGTTCTCCCCCCAGCCCAGGACGTCTTTGTCCGGGTCGGCCCACAGCAGGTCGCACAGCAAACCCTGGTCGGGCACGTCTGTGGGTCGCATTACTCTGCGGATCTGCTCCATGGACTGGAGGTCCGGAGAGAGTCCTGGGGGGGACGACACACGTCAGTTTTACTTCAACTCCCAACTTTATTCTATTTGACGTAACCGGATCTACCTCCGTGACAACAGAAGATCTTCTCGTCTACGATGGCAGCCACAGGTAAACAGTTGAAGCAGTCGGTGAAGGTCTTCCACAACTTGATGTTGTACCGTCTCTTACCTGCCGACAACAAGAGGAAAATAAACGTGCAGCACGGCTGGAGCTGGTTCGGTCATTACTCACGGGCGACGTCGTTCACTTACACTCGTCATAAAAACCGTAGATTCGATTGATTGAAGCGCACTCGTGATTGCCACGCAACAGGAAGAAGTTTTCGGGGTATTTGATCTTGTAGGCGAGAAGCAGACAGATGGTCTCCAGAGACTGCTTCCCTCGGTCTACGTAGTCGCCCAGGAACAGGTAGTTGCTTTCTGGGGGGAAGCCTCCGTATTCAAAGAGCCGGAGGAGATCATAGTACTGACCGTGGACATCACCTGCAGGGAGCAGCACGGAAACACGATTACAACTTTTCATGTTTAACGTGTGAGCAATTAGGACGTTGATGGAATCCACAAAAATGAAATGAACACAAACCGCTGGGTTTAAAATGTGTGGTTTGGGCTTTTCTTGTATTTAAATGGAAGAATCTTGTATTTTAAGTTTAGCACAAGATAAATTAATAGAAGAAACAAGCAAATTTAGCACAAATTATCAGAGACGACGGCGCAGCATGCTCGGTGCTTGGACGCCCCCTCGACCCAGTGCAGGTGGTGGGAGACACTGAAATAACATCATCGCTGGACAACGTCCCCCGCCCCATGAAGCTGCTGCTGAACTGGAGCTCGTTCAGTGACAGACTTCATCCTAAATGCACAAAGGAGCGTTACGGCAGGTCCAGCAGCTGTTCGACTCTACAACCATCACTGCTCCCAACAAACTCAATAAGGATTAAATACACGCTGACCTCGGCTAAAACACGCGCTCTGCCTATAATAATGTACTGTAAATAGTCTGTCCTCATTGTTCCAATACATATTGAACATTATTATCAATATTGTTTATCTTAATTCTTTATATATTGTTTTTAACATTTAGGAACTTTTGTGTGAAATCTTTTTATCTGTTGCTGCTGCTACACTTGAACTTCCCATCCGTGGGACAATAAAGGCCGTTTCTATTCTACACCTGGACCTTTAAGCTAAAAATAAAAAAATAAGTTACGATGTCCACGTTACAGTGAGGATCCCACCACAGAGCAGGGAAACAAGTCAGAGGTGATTCACCTACAACACGAGAAGACGAGAATCAACCCGAGTTGCACAAAGAAGCCGCTCACACCTGGGCGCACCGTGCATCAGAAAACACAGTCAGATAAAACTATGGTTCTGGTTCAAAAAGCGTTCGATACAAAAGCAACTGGACTTTATTTGTACCGGAAGACGTTTCGCTCCTCATCCGAGGAGCTTTCTCAATTCAAAGAGCAGAGAGTGAGAGATTCAGGTTATAAGGCTGAGTGAGACAAGACACACGCACGTATGTAGATTTGACAAGTCACACCTCAACACCTCAACAGTTCGGGCTTCTTAAAGTTTTTGTTCCTCTAATTCACAGACGAGGCCCCTCTGTTCCCATCAGGTGTGAAAACCGGCTGGGAATCGGTCTTAAAGTTGCATTATAGGTTTTTGGAAGTGGAAATCTGAGGCCTCCTCCTCCGTTAAGAGACGGCTTTTCCCTTTTTACATAAATTTGTTGTTTTCGTATTGAACGTTCTTTTTTTTATTTATCATGTCCTGGATGACTGAGAATCTTCACCAGCATATGGTTCTGGTTCACTTTGTTGAAATCAGTTTAATCCTTGCGTCATCGTTAGATTGGATGGATTTAACAAAACCACAACAATAAACATGTTTAACCCCCCCCCCCATTTTGACTGTTGATGGAAATCCATTGTGGCAACGGAGCTCTTTAATCCCTGCTTTTATTATAGTCAGCAGAATAAATGTACATTTTTAATTGTTAATTAATCAGATGCAGATGTACGTGCAGGGATTGTCTCCTGAAAGACTCATTCAAATCTGTGCAGTGGCTCATGAGACATTTTGTCCCGTTTTCCCTCACAGCCTCAACGATGTGGACTTCGTTGCACCTGAACTCACCGCAGATTTTCAAGGGAGCCTCGAGTTCGAGCAGGATGGGCTGGCTCAGGAAAATTTCTCGAGACTTGAGGCAAAGGCCACGAATTTCATTCTCCGTTAGCTGAACGTTCTTCCCCGGCCGAGAGCCCTTCACTGAAACAGAGCGAGACAAAACATTTTAATGGGGTTAAAAAGAAAAAGGCATCAAAGAAAGAAGATTGACACAAAGCAAAGCTACGAGATGTGATGCTTGGATTTGGAACCAGACCACCAGACTGGGCAGTTCACACCTCCCACCAGCCAAATGTTGTCAAGATTCTGTTAGCGGTTCTGTCCAACAGCCATTTCAGCAGGTACCGCCATAACTCAGAGGTAATGTACGGTTTGAAAATCACAACTCATAAACCAAGATGAGCTTGGCAAGTGTGCACAGAAGAAAGGTGTGAAACCACTTCCTGCTGTTAGCGGACGCTGACGCAGCACAAACACACGACCAGAGCACTTTGAGTTTGTTTTTATACAAATAAAACAAGAGAACACTTCTTCAAATCAACACAAATAAGATGCAACGAACCTGAATTACATCTCCATTATTGATCATTTAAAAATGAAAACGACGTTCTGTTGTTGGAAATGAATTCGAGGCATCTGAAGAATTCAGCAGGTTTGTCTGCTCGTCGTGTTTTCACACTTCTCGCACACGACCGAAGGAAACGACTCACGACGGAGACTCAATCAAACCATCTTCCTGCTGAACAACTCGCCTCAGCCCCGCATCGGGTTAAACGCGTTCCGCGTTAGTCGAAAAATAAACACGTGATCCAAATCAAATCCGAGGAAAACGCTCAGTAAATGAATAGTTTGGAACCTGATTAGCAGCTTTAACCGACAGCTGAGACGAGTTTCCTTAATGACGCCTGAAATGAAACGACCGACTGCGGCAGCTCGTAAATCTGGTTCATCGTTCAGTTCGATCTTACTGCTCAGCACAAACTGAAAAAATATATTTTTAGGAAACACTTCCTGCAATCAAACAACGCAAAAAGAAAGTTTTCACTAACAGATTCCACATCAAATCCTAAACTGGACTTTTTTCTTTAAAAACCACAGTTTTACAACGTTTGACGGTTCCATTGGTGGTGGGGATTTAGTTTTAGATGCGTCGTGGAAAAGGACAATTTAAAACCCATTTTTATGCCAAACATCAGTTTTGGTCGCCTCGCTGTTTGCAAAGCAGCTGCTGCACCGTACCAATTGTCCCAGCAGAGTTGCCGTACTTGAAACATGTTGCAGTAAAGCCGAATGGTTTGAGAATATCAGTAAAAAAACAGCTAAACTTACTGTTAACATGACTGTGAAACATTTAATTTGTAATAAACACAATGCTAATCTCATTAGCTTTTCAATGGAGTTTTAATGTCAAGTTAGCATCTATGCTAACTGCTGATCAGCCACCCAGTTTTTTTATTTCCTCATCTGCCTTTAAAGGTTTATAGCGGGTATATATTCAGAAATTATCCTTTTCATTTCCTTAAAAATTGACTGTTTTCTCTCGGACGGACAGATGGATTTGCACACCAATGTCTCATAACTAAAACTACCGGTAGTTTGTTGCCAGGTGTTAAATCACCAAATTTCAACAAACTACGGATCATTTTAAAGGTTTTAAGGCAGATAATTAGAAAAAAGTAATTACTGATAATTCCTTGTTGCAACTCATTTTGCATCACTTGTTTCCGTTCTCCCCTTTAGACACGACAACATATAAATCAGTCTTATTCATATAAACTTCCCTCTTCATCAGTTTATCACCTGCCTCCTAGAGTTTATTCACAAACCAGATAATAAAGACGCATCAATATTAAGTTTATAATCACAATTATAACGGTTTTCCCTCCTACATCGTTTAGTAACAATTGTACCTCTAACACGGTAGAAATAGTGTAACTGATTATTTTATGATGTGATGGATGTAGGTTTAAAAAAATGCATTTATAATGGGTCAAATTTTCCACCAAGAAACACTAAAGTGTCTGAGTTTACATTTGAAAAGATTCTGACAAAGTTCATTTGATTTGTCAGGATCGGTTGTTTACAGACACCAAAACACAAAAATAAAATATGTGGCTGTTTTTTTGTCCTCACAAGACCCCCCCGAGTGTTGGAAGTGAACTATGTTCAACCAAAGAATCAGACGCCTGTACAGGCAGAGCAGCAAAGCTCCAAGTATGAATCACCAAACGGATGTCGGGGAGGGACAACAAAAGGCAGATATAAATACTGCGTGGCTGCTCGTTACTTTAAAACCTGGATTACTGAAGCTAAGCCCCGACAGAGCTCACTCCAAAGTTAGCCGTGCAGCCAGTGGGTGACGGAGGCTTCGCACAGCGCCGCTCAGGAGGCTGAAAACAAGACGGTCCAGGTGAAATCAACGCTTCGAACGGTTCCTGACTGCTCTGGATGGATTTATGCGACGACGCTCCCCGAGTTCGATTAACTTTAGAGCTAGTCGTTAAACTGTAGCTGCTAATTAACCCCTCTATTTATCCAAACACATTCAACTGGTTCAGACTCAAAACAGGAAGTAGGACCTTTATGTCCACGTAGTTTAAAAATGATCACAGCAGCTGCAGTGGGATATTTATACTTAAATTCTAATCGAAGAGACGTTTTACTGTAAAACTACAAATACCAGCAACAATTTAAAAAGTCCAAAGGGTTAGATAACAGGGTATAAATATGGCCACTATCAGGTTTGTTTGTTTTCCCGAGTGTTGGCAGAAGACCTTATCACTGTCCAAGTACAAAACATTCGAGTGTCCCACAGTCAAAGTCAAACTCCCAGCAGACGTTTACCTGTGCACAAACACACACACATGCGAGCGCGCGTGCACGTGTGTGATCCCAGCCACCTCCAACAGCTCAAGCTGACCGTGCAGGGCCTAGATTTAAGAAGGTAAACAAACTAAAAGGCTGAGAGGAGTTTCTTAATAATCCAGGTTCTGGATCGAACATTAAATTTGTTTGATCAAACAAGTTCTGATGTCGAGACTTAAAGGATCCAAAAAGATGATCTTTGAGCCAACATTACCTTTAAACCAGTTGCAGTTTACTTTGCTCATCTGTTAAGATTATCTGGGTACAACAACGTTAGCGCCTTTTATCACCGTGGGTTTTTTTATGAACTTGGGAAAAACATTATTATTATTATTATTATTATTATTAATGAAAGTTTCAACAGAGATCCTTGTGATGTCCCAAAAAATAAAAGTGAGCACAGAAATTAAAAACGGGCAAAAACCATTGTTTTTCTGACAAATGTGCGTTGTAGTTTTGAAGCTACATGTTAAAGCAACGTTAAAATATTCTGAAGGTTAAGAGTCAACAATGAACCTTTTCCCACAATGCAAAGCAAAAGTAGCGCAGATACATTTTTATCAAATGTTAGCAAAAGCATTAAAACTATTTTAACCACGAGGGTCGCCCGTCTAGTTTGCAGCGTTTTCAATAAATACATCACAACTCTGTACATAAACAACTACCGGTACATCTAAAGGTTAAGAGGACCGGACTTAACCTGGTCAGATTTTTCTACCTGGACTACTGAGCATCAGGACATAAACAACTGCAGTTTGTGGCTTACAGTTAAACACCTGTTACCTGTTACGTTAGATCAAAAAGCAAAAAGCAAAGTTTTATATAAGAAACATTTTGTATGTAGATCTCCTTTAATAAAATCTGAACAGTGAACTATGCAGGTCTACACAAATTTTCACATTTAATATAAGTATTCCACTTTGAAACAATAAAAAACTGAGTTGGTTCAACATTTAATTCATTTATTTAAAATTGCACTAAATATTTAATTTAAATGTTACGTCTAAGTCTTGGGCTAATCAAATCGTATCGTCTTTTACTTCTATCGTTTTCCCCACACATGGTTATAGATTGAAATATTCATAATTTTGATGTTCGTTTTGATGAAAGTGTCGCAGGTTGAAGATCCCAGGTGTCATCTATAGTTTGTTAGTAAAATATAAATAAATAAGAAAATTTCCCCTCGAAAAGTAAAAAGGACGTGGAGTTCTCGCTGCAGATAAAACTCAAGCTCTTAATGAATTTCTAGATGAATAATATCTAATAATTATCTAAATAATATTTTTATCACCTCTTTAAAGGTAAGACCTGCTTCAGATTGGGGCGACATAAAAAAACTTCACATGTTACAAAGTTATATTTGAGTTATATACAGTAAAAAAAAAAAAAAAGATTTGTTTATATTGCCAACGTGCATTAATTCATTAGCGATGTTTGTGTACTTCAACCTGCAGGGCGCTGATCTGGAGCAAAACATTTAGACTGGATTAAAATGGTTTTTACTCATTACATAAACTTTCCAGCTGGGTTTTAGGAAACGTTTGTGTCTATTTGTTGACCACGACGTTTTGTTTTGCAACTGTGATAAGATGAAACAACTCAAACAGATTACGATTTAAACTCTTCTGTGTAGAAACTGGTTACTGTAAATATACACCCACTGCCAAAATAATGTTCTAGACCAGTAAATACGTTCACAGCAGCTATTAATAACATTATTTCACACCAAAAGCACTCTTTGTTTTTACTCTGTAGATTCAAATTTTAAACAAATTCAACAAGAAAATGGCATTTAAACCACTAAGCAAAAAATAACTAAATCAGATTCATCGTCTTTAGGTGCGAATATCTCCAAAGAATACGATATTATTGGTCTAAGAAGGGTAAATGTTAAAGTTCAAATGACCAGAATCAACCATAAAACAAATTGTGCTTGAGATGTTTATTAATACAATTAAATATTAAAAGACTAAATGGGTCATGACTTTGTGCTGTGTAGTATATAGTTAAGAAATAAACATCGAATAATAGTTATTAACATTTTGCTTTTTTTTTTTTTTTTTTGGTTAAGGGCCATTTCAAACCAATTAAAACACAGTTTATGTTCAACATGGGGGGAAAAAAACATAATATTCCATCTTAAAAGCTGTAAAAGTACAATATAATTCATGCGTTACCATGTATTTGTCTTTACTGGGAGACAATAATCGATTAAAAAGATGAGACTGTAAAAAGATCAAATAACGTCAGCGTCAATAAAAATCCTATGATCCAAAAACAAAACTAACTATCCGGTAAACGTTAACACAGAATCAAATTTAAACTCTTATCATCGTGATGTTTGTCCTCACCTTCCAGGAGACGCTGAATTATCGAGTCGATGTTTAATTTGTCCGGCTCCGCCATTTTCTCTAATTTCTGGCGTTATCGGGAAGTCGAGATCGTGGTTTTTTTTCTGTGCGTTTCACCTTAGGATTCAAAAACAGGACAGAACAAGAGACATAAACCGGCTGTTGTCCATAAAACACGCCATCGTTCAGATCCTGAAAGGAACGGTCCGACTGAGAGAAATCGACCGGCGCCAGAATCAATGAGCTTATCCGAGCGACGAAGCTGCTAGCCAAGTAGCATTAGCAACACTTTTTTAAACAAACTTTATTGAATCCGGTCGACACAAGCGACAAAATTCAAATTAAAACCTCTCTACGACGAATAAAATGTTCCCAAACCTTGCCTTCACGTTTATGCCTTTCCTCCTGGTACGGAAGATGTGTGAAATACTAATTTTTAGTTTAAATTTGACTCTGTTCCCCTGCTTTGTCCTGGTTGTTCCACACTTCCCCCCCAGGGGAACTTTAAAAGAAGGCCGTCTAAGACCAGCGTCGAGCGATCAGCGTAACGTAAGAGGCCGACTCAACCCGAGTTACTCGAAAGGTGATTGGTCCGTCAACCATTCGAAAGTTTAGAATCTCACATCCTATTGGATGGAATCAGAGTCGGTCATGTTAGGCTCCGCCCATAGCAGTTTACAAATGGCTGGTTTTTAAACTGAATTGCGCCCCCTGGTGTTTACATTTGGACTTGTATTACGTTTTAAATCCTATTTAACGAGAGATCACAGCAAAACCATTAATTTATTAATTTATAGTACATTGAACTATAATGTGAAAAAGGTAAAAGTCTGCTTTTTGTTTTTTATATTACTGTTTAGGCTCAGAATAAGAAATATAGTAAACATAATGTAAAATTTTATTGAGTATTCATTTTTAGACTAATCAGTTCTACGTTTCGAGTGTTTTATAAAGAAGGGGCAAAGAAAGGCTTGTAAAAGTGACGTAAAATTGGTAAAAGTTTTTTGTTATTTCTAGTCAGCCATGTCGAAAATTATATGTGGCTCGATTTTTTTTTTAAATGTCACAAAATATCTGTTTTTTATCCAAAAAAAACAAAACAAAACACCTAAACCAATATTTTTAATCAAACACACACACAAAAAGCCTCAATGCGGGCGTAAAGAAGTTGTAAAATCAATTTGATTAATTCATGATGGATGAATCACCAGCTCAAACCGAAGGAGGCGATGTGTTTAATTAGCTGCTGGTCTGATGAGCTAAACAAAGAAGGGCTTTTCCACCAGTCTCTGGATGGACATCTCCCTTTGGAGTCAATCAAAGATGGCCGCCACAACAAAGTGACCGCAACCAACACAAAGTTGGCTTTAACACAGTCAGTTTTACAGATGTCATAAAATTTGGTGTGTGAACGAGAGGGAGGCCGGTGGAACAGTGAGGCCAGAAGGAGCAGAGGTCACAAAGGTGCAGGACGTCAAGGACTTGGCGTCCACTGTCCAGGAAAACAGAGAGTGTGATGAAGAGGTGAAAAAGAGAGTCCGGGCAGGATGGAGTGGATGGAGAAAAGCTTCAGGAGTGATTTGTGACAAAAAAGGTCAAAGGAAAAGTTTACAAGGCAGTGGTGAGACCAGCTGTGTTGTATGGTTTGGAGACGGAGACATGGACAAAAAGACAGGAGACAGAACTGGAAGTGGCAGAAATGAAGATGATGAGGTTCTCCTTAGGACTGACGAGGATGGAGAAGATTGGGAATGAGATCATCAGAGGTACAGCACAGGTTGAACGACTGGGAGATAAAGTTAGAGAGACCAGACTGAGATGTTTTGGACATGTCCTCAGGAGGGACAGTGGATATGTTGGAGATATGTGGATGCGGTTGGAGGACATGGTTCTTCAGGAAGGCCATCCGGCGTAAAAATAATAGCCACATATGTGAGTTTGCTCGGTCTGGTGACCCCTGAAGACGGGAGCAGTTGAAGGAAAAGAAAAAAGCTGCAGCTAGCTACATTTAGCTCGTAGCTAGAGTTTTTTCTGCTTCTGCCTTTTAACAAATGTTTAAACTTTTCAGCTTTTAGCTCGTCTTCTGCTTCTTTTACCTTTAACCGGATTCATCGGCAAACTGCAGCGAAGCCGTCCAGCTCTCAGCGTTTTCGCAGAAAGTTCAGCTTCTCTGCTTTGTTCAGCTGGTGGCTGCGGTTTAACCCTCCTGCTGCCCTTAGGTCACAACAACACCCAAGACCTCAATGGTCATTTTGACCCAAGGACAGCAGGCGGGTTAATCCATTCGAGGCCTAGAAGCATGATTTTTAAGTTCAACAAAACCGTTTTTGTGTCATTTCATGGACTTTTTTCAACAAAATAAACCAAATATTTGTCAGGTTTGATTATAACTCCACACCTGGTCCACTCCTTCGTGCCGTGGTGCCGCTAAAGTCCAACTGAGACCACGAGATTACTCAAACCAAAACCCCGAAGGTGAGCAAAGGCAGCATTCCTTTTGATTTCTTCATTTTTTCCTTGTGTCCCGTGATCCACCACACAAATCCCAACAGCGCGTCAGTCCCTAAAAATGGCCTCCCCGCGCTCGTCATCCCGGTTTCGACAGAAGCGGGCGTGGATGCGAGCGCACGGAGCTGCTGGGATGTTTGTTTGTATGTTGGATGCACGGACGAGCTTCCAGATGACTCATGCTTTGATTTTCCTGGAAACTTCTGATGAGCACAATCAGAACTCAGCATCAGCATCTTTACGCACATCTTAGCGTTTATCCACCAATAGGATTTTCTGAGGACTTCCCTGCTGTTCCTGGAATACTTCTTTATTTTAAGGGGGGAAAAGTGAGGGAACGCAGGTCCAGGTACAAGTCCACACTGGTTTGGGTCCATACCTCCTCCGCTGTTGGGCGTCGAGCTCCACCCTCACCTTACATTTCTTCATAAATATCTTGGTTTCTTCAGGCAGCGGCGGCTCAAACCTTCAGGAACCATCTCCTTCAACAAGAAGAAGCAAAAACACCAGAGACGTCCATCTTTAAGCAGAAGGTAGGACATGAACGTTTCTGTTCAACTTTCACCCTGAAGATAAAATAATATTCAGTTTTTACAGTTGAAGAGGAACAAATTCAGAAATGTTTCATCCGTTTGATGATTTTATTCAAAGTCACATTTAGACGAGCACAGCGAGATTATTTTAACAAGAAAAATCTCAAGTTCTTTCAGGATCAAATCGACACATTTCAGATTAGAATAAGTTACGGCTGTAATCCAGGGTGGGTCATGTCTGCTTTAAGTGCTTAAAATAAAATGTTTTTATATCAGTTTTAATCCAAACATATTTAATATTTACCTTTAAAGTGTAAAAAAAAGTGATTTTAATGACCATCAACATGGTTCAAATCTTTATTTCGATGCTGCTTTTTATTTTTAGGATGTTTTCTCTGAGGAGTTGATTTATTTTTTATTTTTTAAAGAAGTCAAATAAAAGAATAAAAGCTTTAGTTTAATCCTTTTTAAAACTATTTCTGATTTGCGAGCATAACGTGTTAAATTCATCTGAGTAGATTTTATATCTGTTATCCTGCTGCTGTTTTAATTTTAATTATTGAACAAGTGAAGCGCTGTGAAGATAAAACGAAAGGCCTTCGATCTGTTCATGTGAGGGAGTGGTGCAGACAGTCGTAGGTGGAGGCCCCGGAGGCCCGGACCTGTCTGAGCACGACCGAACGGAAAAATGTGGCCCCAAACCACAGATTCTGTGCAGACACGCACGATCTGATCTGTTTGTGTGAGCGCGTCTGTTCAGCTGCGCAACAACAACAAGTAAACATGTTGGTCCCATTTTATTAATGGAGCGTCTCTCAGAAACAAAATAAAATGTTAACATTTGTGTTTTTTTAAAAATGGTTCATGTGCAAAAAGCTAAAAGTAAAATGAGAAGTGTTTTCTGGAACGCAGACGAACAATTTTACTGAAACCTGCTGAAGAAGCGTAAGCTTTTCTTAAAGCTCAAATAAGCAAAACACTAGCTAAATGCTAACAAAAATGCTACCTAAAAGAAGCAATGCGCTACCTTAAAGCCAATTGTAGCATTACACAAGCTAAAAGCTGAAAGTCGCTAAGAATTGGCTAGATGTTAAAAGTAAAGAAGCAAAGAGCTAGTTAAAGAATAAAATCAACAACTAGCTGAAGTTATTAAAGGGCTAGCTAGAAGCTAAAAGAGTAAACAACTACTGAACAAAATTAAGTAAGAGAGCAGTAACGAAAAGCTAAAAGCAACAAAATGTGAGATTAAAAACTGGAAAGTAAGGCAAAGTATCACTCGTTTAAAACTAAATGTAGCAAAACATTATCTAAAAGCCAAAGGTATCAAAAACTTATTAGAAGCTAAAAGTAGCAAAATAGTAGCTAGACGCTAAAAGAGTAAACAACTATTGAAACAAAAATTAGGTAAGAGAACGGTAATGAAAAGCTAAAAGCAACGAAATGTGAGATAAGCTAAAAGTAATCAAAGTAAAAAGGAAAAGTATCAAATTACTTGTTTAAAACTAAATGTAGCACAACATTAACTAAAAGCTAAAAGTAGCAAAAACTTACTAGATGCTAAAAGTAGCAAAATAGTAGCTAGAAGCTAAAAGTAATAAAAGGAAAAAGGAAAAGTAGCAAATTGCTTAAAATTAAATGTAGCTAAACATCATCTAAAAGCTAAAAGTAGCAAAAACATTACATGATAAAAGTAGCAAAATAGTAGCTGAAAGCTAAAAGTAGCAAATGGCTAGCTAAAGGATAAAAGCAGCAAAAGGCTAGCTAAAATAAAAGTAACAGAAGGTTAATTAAAAATTAAGAGAAGCAAAATGCTAGATGTAGCTAGAAGCTGAAAGTATAAACAAGAGCTACAAGTTCAAATTGCAAAAGACTAGCTAGGCGCTAACAGTAGCAAAAGGTAAAATTAGTAGAATAGTAGCTGAAAACTAAAAGTTTTCTAAAGACAAACAGGCTGAAGCAGATTTCAAAGAAAATGTTGGAATAATTTGAGATTTTAATCTACTTAAATGGGGAAAATATTAGTTAAATATTTTTGAAACATCTAAAAGTTACAAAAACCAAAAGTCACAGCACCCATCTCCTGAACGAGCCGAATGTTTTGATACATGATCGGCTGAAATAGCACAAACTCTGCAGAGGTTGTTAAACTGCAGCAAAACGTCCAGAAAACTAATAAATAAGATTTCAAATAATTATTTTCCAAACACACAGTGTCGGTGCGTTTCCCTGAAGCTTTGAGAGGAAATAAACTTAAAGAAACAACTTTTTAATTATTTTTATTCCTTCTTGTGTGTTTTTCCAGAATGGGGTCCTCGGCGATTCATGTGGTGTGCGTGGCGCTCGGGGTCGTCGGGCTCGTCGGGGTCATCGTCTGCTGCACCGTCCCGCTCTGGAAGGTGTCGTCCTACGTTGGAAGCAACATTCTCACCGCTCAGGTAATAAAACCAACACCGACCGTCACGCCGTAAACAAGTTCAGCCATTTAACGTGTCGGCTAGTATGGGGTGCCGTTTGTAAAGTTACACAGTCAAAAATTAACAGCAATATTTTGGTTTATTTAGCCTTTCATAAGAAAAAACTTTTTTTTTTTCAAAATCAGATTTTCACCATGTTATTCATATATTTATAAATGTCATAGTTCCAAACTAAATATTTAATTTATAAGATAAATATTTAGTTTATTAACTTAATACTTAACTTGCAAGTTAAATATTTAGTTTGAAAGCTAAATATTTAGGTGTAAATAAAACATTTAATTTTCAAGCTAAATATTTATTTAAAAAACTAAACCTTTAATTTCTAAGCTAAACATTTAATTCCTAAACTAAATATTTAGCTCAGACCTAAACATTATTGTCCAAGCTAAACATTTAATTTCCAAAACAAATATTTAAATTGCTAACTAAATATTTAGCTCGGACCTAAATATTTAACTTGCTAGCTAAATATTTAATTTGCAGTTTGTAAACTAAATATTTAGCTTGTAAATTAAATATTTAGTTTGGAACTATGACATTTATAAATGTATGAATGACAGTGAAAATATGACTAATAAAACATATTTTTTTTCTTATGAAAGTCTAAATAAACCAAAATATTGCAGTTTATTTTTGACTGTAACTTTACAAACGGCACCCCATAGGCTAGCACTGATTAGCGTGGCAGCCATTTTGATTTAGGTTGCCTCCAAAAGTTAAAAAAGCCCAAAATGCTGATTTTGTCGTGACCAAATAAAAACTCATTGCTGCCTTTTGTCTGTCTTTGTGTGATCAGAACCAGCAGGAGGGCCTCTGGACTGAGTGCGTGGTGCAGAGCACCGGGCAGCAGCAGTGCAAGAACTACGACTCCCTGCTGGTTCTGGCCAACGAAATCCAGGCCTCGCGGGCCATGACCATCATCAGCTGCATGCTGTGCAGCCTCAGCCTCCTCGTCCTGTTCTGCGGGGCCGACTTCACCACCTGCGTGCAGAACGAAGACATCAAGCCCAAGATCAGCCTGGTGGCCGGAGTGGGCCTGCTGCTGGCCGGGCTCCTGGTCATCATCCCCGTCAGCTGGTCGGCCCACATCACGGTGAGGAACTTCAACGACCCCCTGGTACCGGCTTCGCAGAAGAGAGAGATGGGAGCGTGCATCTACATCGGCTGGGCCTCCGGCGTGCTGCTGCTTCTGTCAGGAGGTCTGATCTGCTGCTTCAGCAGACCCAAATCGGGAAGCTCAGGAGGAACCGCCAAGTACTACAGCAACAGCGCCTCGGCGCCAAACACCAACTACGTGTAGAAGCTCTCAGAACCGGACTGGTGTTTGACGGAAAGGAGGGGGGCCGAGATACGTGACGACTCGCACCAGTTGTTGATTAAACCAAAAATACCTGTAAATATTTAATACAGATTATAACTGGTTATTTTCCTGCTTTCATTTTGGGTGTTGGGGCTTAAGCTAGCTGTTTGTCGTGCGCACCAGAAGTGTCTGAGGCACATTAAATCATCAAGCTCAACAGAATACGAATTCTTGGTTTACAAACTGAAATGAGTTGTAATTTAGCTATTTTTTGATTTGACAATAAAGATATTGTAGCTGTGCTTGCCTGACGTTATCGTTACTCATTTAGCAGGTTTTTAAGAAGTTAGGTGTACAGAATATTCTTCTCGTGTCGCTCTCTACTGCAGAGGGCTTCAATCAGTCCACAATATATATCTTTAAATTACATTTTTTTAGGTTTCCACCTCTCCGTCAGTTTCTCTCTACAGAGAAAAGAGGAGAGAAACTGTGGGCCAGATGTGGAAATTACCGTAAATGCTAGAAAAGCTGTGTTGCGAAAAACGAGTTATTATAATGCCAAATAAGTCGTGTTGCCAATTACGAATTAAGAAAATGGCAGAAAAGTTGCGGAAGATGATTTACGGTAAACACGAGAAAGCCGCACCGCCTTCTAGAACGAGTTAACGTAAAAGAGCGGAAAGCTGCAACGTCACAAACTAAATACGTTAAATGTGGGAGCAGCTACGGTGCCTATAGAACGAACCGTCGTAAAGTTGCGCAAAATCAGTTGTAAAAGCTCGAAAAGTTGCGCCACTAAAAATGGATTACTGTAAAACATGGAAGAGATGTGCAGCTTTAATGAACACAGTAACAAGAAAAGAAGAGAGTATTTACCGTGCTCATTAGAAACATGCCAAAATACTTTACTTTTTAATTACTAAAGTCCCTTCAGGAGCTCCGTAGCCGTTTGGTTTACTGCATTTACAACATGAAACTTCAGCTATAAAATTAACTTTTTATTATTTTTGACCTCATAGTGGACTTTAAAAGGACATCATCATTCAGAAACATGAAAAATGTGTTTATAGACAGAAAAATGACACGACGGTGAGCTTTAAATACAATAATTAAAGAAAAAAGAACCATAATGTTTTGTTTTGCAGTTAGTTAATATTTTGAATCATTTCTCTGATCTTGATTTGTCTTTATTAAACTTGTTATTGTGTTTAAATAATCTTAAACCAAATGTATTTCAGCGAATCCCTCTCTCAGAATAAACGTCGTGTTTTATTTCTTCATTAAAAAATCTGTTTCTCATATTGTTTTGTTGTCGTTCATGTTTGATGTTCAGTAGAAATGCTTAATATCAGTCACAGACGTGCACGTCATCTAGTTTTACTGTAAAAAAAAAAAAAGAAAAAATAAAGCAATTTGAAAATACTGAAGACTTTATTTCAAACAAAATTTATATATTAAAATAGAAAATGTTCAATTTCAGGCAAGAAAACAAATTCAGGCTTCAAGCTAACGACGTTTTCTAACATCTGCTGCCGTAAAGTTGCTCTTTTTGTTCACAGCTAAAAGTTTACAGCAGCTGAATTCTTTGACTCGTCTGTTTTGGCTCCGCAGACCACTGCTCGGGTTTTATTGTTGTTTATTTGTTTACAGCCAAACGTTTATCCTTCAATGTTTGCTCTCCAGCTCTTTCACGCGCTTGGTCAGCTCCTCTACGGCTGCTTTCAGGCCCTTCAGCTCCTTCTTCAAAGACTGGACGTCCTGGAGGACAGAAAGAGACACGTCACACCGCCTGAAGACGTCATCCTAACGAGTGCAGCACGTTACAAGCTCAAGATGAAAAACAGCTAAAATTAAAACAGAAAAAACATCTTACTTGGATGGATGATAGATGGTTGGATGGATGAAAATTTTATTTCTACGGCAGCTCAGTTATTATTTTTGACTTTTAATTTAGATTTTTCTGTTTAGGTTGTAGCTAATGCTAATTTTAGCTTTTAGCTACTGTTTAGCTCAATCTAAATTAGCTATTAAATACAATTTAGCTCATTTTTAGCAAATATTAATCGTTATGCTACATTTAACCTTTAGCTGCTGTTTTGTTGTTTTTGCTTAACTATTGCTTTTATTAAAAAAAAAAAAAAGGATTTGGTATTTTTGTAGTCTTGCTAATGTTAGCTTCTAACTCATTTTTAGCTAGTTTTTGTACATTTACCTTTTAGCTACTGCTTTGATAATTTCAGCTTTTAGCTACAGTTTTGCTATTAACTTAATGGCAATTTAGCTTATTTGAGCATGCAGCTACTGTTTAGCTCATTTTAACTTTTACATATGGTTTTGAAAATTTTACCTTTTTTATTACTTTATTTGAATTTTAATTTTTTTTCTACTTAGGTTGTTGCTAATGCTAATTTTATCTTTTAGATACCATTTAGCTACTTCAATTTTAAGCTGTTGTTTTGCTAATTTAAGCTTTTATCTGCTGTTTTATTACCATTTATTATGATTTTGCTACTTATAGCTTGCTAATTTAGCTAATTTTAGCTATTTTTCTGTTAATAAATATTATTCTTAGTTATCCTGCGAGTCTCCTGTGCCTGCCTGCGTCTTGGGTTCACACACACCGACAGAATCGCAACAACTCCTGCTTTCCTTGGGTCAAAGTGACCCCTGAGGCTTCAGGTTTATGAGGGAGGGTCATTTTGACCCAAGGGCAGCAGGAGGGTTCTCACCTCGCTGCTGCTCGGATGACTCCCGGCAGAAGCCGTCGTGGTCTTCAGGAGACTCTTGTGAACTTTGAACTCTTTGGCTTTGGTGGTGGCCGTGAACCCGTCCTTCAGGGAAATCAGAACCGGCGGCGCTTCCTTCCCACCGAACCACTCGTCCGCCTCAACCGAGGGCTCAGGACCGATGGTGTCCGGGTACAGATCCTCCTGGAACAGGTCCGACTGCACGGACCGGGGTGGACAGAGTCAGCCGAAGACGTCTCAGCTCAGAAAAGCGCGTTTCTATAAACCTCACCTTGCGCGGCACCGTCATCACTATGGGCTCACACTTCCTCTCGTGGAGTTTGTAGAACCTGAAAGACGAAACATTTAAACAAATTACTTGTGTTTTATGTTGACGTGTGTTGGAGGAGACTTTCGAAACACAATCTAGAAGTCAAAAACTGAAAAATACAAGCTAAAATGTAAAAGTAGCACAAGGCTAAATAAAAAGCTAAGTGTTTCAATACGTTAGCTAAGAGTCAAATAAAGCAAAATGCTAGCTAATGGCGAAAAATGCAAACCCTAGCTAAAAGTAGCAAAATGATAGCTAAAACCTAAAAGTAGCACATCAATGAATAAAAGCTGAATGTAGCAAAATGCTAGATAAAAAAACAAAAGAAGCAAAAAAAATTTAAAAAGCCAAAAGAAGCAAAATGCTAGCTAACAGCTAAAAGTAAGTGTTTTGTAAAATGACGTAACATTCAGTAAACTAAAGTTAACATGAAAACTGCAAGCTAAGGGTCAAACGCTAGCTAAAAGCTAAAAGTAGCACAAAGTTGAATAAAAGATAAATGTTGCAAAATGCTAAAAAAAAAAGGGCCAAAATAAGCTAAATGTTAGCTAAAAATATAGAATTTATACAAGGCCAAATAAAAAACTAAAAGTTTCAATATGTTTGCTAAAAGCCAAATAAAGCAAAATGCTAGCCAACAGCAAAAAATGCAAAACACTAGCTAAATGTAGCAAAATGCTAGCTAAAATCTAAAAGTAGCACATTACTTAATAAAAGCTAAATGCAGCAACATGCTAGATAAAAGCCAAAAGAAGTAAAATGCTAGCTAACAGCTAAAAATGCTAGAAATAAGTGTGTTACAAAAGTAGACTTCCTTGTAGCATTCAGTAAGCTAAAGTTAACGTGGAAACTGCTAGCTTAAAGGGTCAAATGCTAACTAAAATCTAAAAGTAGCACGAAGCTGAATAAAAGCTAAACATTGCTAAATGCTACATAAAAACCTAGAAGTAATACTTTGTACAAGGCCAAATAAAATGCCGAGTGTTTCAATACATTAGCTAAATTCAAATAAAGCAAAATGCTAGCTAATAATGAAAAGCGCTAGCTTAATGTATGAAAATGCTAGCTAAAATCTAAAAGTAGCACAAAGCTAAATAAAAAGCTAAGTGTTTCAGTGTATTATCTAAAAGCCGTAAAGGAGAAGCAGGTAAAGAAAATGTTTGGTTTCTTTCAAATCCGTCCACTGGTTTATGAGATGTTTTGGTGCAGGACCCACCCTCGGGCCCTCGGACCCTGGGACCCTCGGACCCTGGGACCCCTTCAGTTTAAAGAACCAGTCAGTACCTGGCGATTTCACATTTGTTGACCTCCAGGCCCCTCTTGGGCATGTAGCCCATGCCCTTCTGGCTCTCCTTGCTGCTGTACATGGACAGGTAGTGGACGTACGGAGCTTCGTCTGTCACTTCGAAGTAACGGATGCTGCTGTCGCCCTGCGGAGGACGTCACAGAGCGTCAGACTGTTTGAGAGTGTCTGCATGGGTCACGACGACGGGTCGGTTCTGAATCTGACCTTGCCACAGAGGTAGACGATCCCGGTGTCTGGGTCAAAAAACGGCAGGAGGACGCCGCTGCTGGTGTCCAGCTCCTGCAGGGTCAGAGGCTCCGAAAAGTTGCTCTGGGAAAGAAGGAAATAGCTCCAGATAAGTCCAGAAGAGGTGTTTTTTTATTAGACTGCAGGTGAGAAAAGGTCTGGTTTCATCCAGACAGAGGTGGTTTACTGCAGAGGAAACACCCTGTAATCTGCCTGTGGAGAAACACGGCTGTTGTAACCAGATTAAGTTCCTCTTTGGTAACAAATACTTTTATTGCTTTAGGTTTGCATCATTCCACTGTGAAGCTCTTCAGACCGACGTGTTTGTGCTTCATAAATCACCTGAGCTGGACGCTCAGCAGTCCTTAAAGGATTTGTGGAAATAAATGTGATTTTATTTTATGGAGTTATTTCTGTGACTGATGGGTTTTACCACTCTGAGGTGTCGACACTCACCGGATCCCACAGCGCCACCTGCCGCTCGCTCATGCGACTGAAGCCGGTGCTCAGGATCTTCCCGTCGGACACGAACACGGCCCGGACGGGCCTGGAGCCCTCGTGAGGTTTCTCCTTCTCCTGCGACAGAGGAGGGTAAAAGAGTTCCTCAAAGTCCAGACAACTTTAAACAACTTTTACTGCCGAGATCCAAAGAAACTGATTCATTGTTAAAAAACAATTCAGTTTGTTCATAGCACCAAGTCACAACAGAAGTCATCTCAGGACACTGAACAGAAACATTCAAATATAAAAAGTAAGTTAATAAAGTTACTTATCTGAAGGAAGGCCCTGGGCCGAGATTTGACCTGGGGTTTTCAGAAGTGAAAGGTCACCGGATCAAATCCCAGCCGGGGACCTTTCTGGGTGGAGTTTACGTGTTTTCTCCTGGTTTCCTCCCACATGTCAAAAACATGCATGTTAGACTGATTGGTAACTAAACTGTCCCTTGGTGAGAGAGAGAGAGTGAATGGTTGTTTGTCTCGTTTGTCTCTATGTGTCCCTGTGATGGACCTGTCCAGGTGTCCCCCGCCTGTCACACGGTGATAGCTGGACATGGACACCAGTTACCCAAAAAGAAAGAAGTGGATAAAGATAATGAATGGATGGTAATAGTGATGAAATG